AATAACAAGAGTTGGTTAAGTCAAATGGTTGGCCTGAGTCATTAATTCAACTGAAAATGTTAAAAGTTCACACATAAAATCCACATAATACAACGTTTGCATTTAAAAATCACCTAAGTTAACAGTCTCAAAAGGTGAAGCCAATCGTGATTGGGATTTTAAAGATGATTGCCTTTTGCTTGACACCATATGAGCTTTGGATTTTGATGAGGATCCATATTTTGGTAGAGGAAAAGATGATTTTGATGGCACTGGTGATCCACATGTCAACCTTGTATGACCACTTTCCTTGCACCGACTACATGTCGATCTCTTCTTCTCTTCACCCTTAGACGGTATACGATCGTGACTTTTTGGTCGGCCAGGTAGCCTTCTGTCCATGGCTGGTGGCAAAACTGTTTGTAAGTCATCTGGTATGTCCCACTCAGAAGGATGTGGAATAGGGTAGACAATCTCGGCATAAGTCTGTCGATAAACTTCTGTAGTGTAGCAATCCATAGCGTATGCGCTTGAATCATCTTGGTTTAAATGAAGAGCAACTTTTATAACATGGCCACACGGATAACCAGATGTTTGCCATTTCATACAACTACACGTCTTTGCATTTAGATCGACTAGCCCATTTAAGTTATTATCCAGTACTTGAAACAAAGTGTTTGAACATGGTTCAACTCTCCATGACGTTGACTTCACAACACGTTTCGTTATCTTTTTTCAGTCCATGGTGTAACACGATGTTCCAATGTTCCTGTAAATTTAAATAAACAATACTTAGTAAAATATATAATATGATAAGTTACGAATTCAAAGAAATAATACCTGCATGGTTTCTTTTCTTGTAGTACCACTGTTGAATAGAGGCTCGAAAAAACTCCATTAACATAGTAATGGGTAATTTTCGGGAATGACGACTTAGAGCGTTGATTGATTCTGCACTATTAGACGTCATGAAACCATATCTTGCTCCAAGTTGATGTACTCTTGACCATCTTTCAAACCCGACATCTTCTAGTGTTTGAGCACACTGAGGCAAAACACGTCTTAAACAATTTATATGCTTATTGAAATCCACTTCCCGATAAGCTTTTACAGCCTTCCAGTATGTCCATTTGTGCTTTTTTATACCAGCAGACCTTGATTTTAGATTTCTATACAAATGAACACCACAAAGTCCATGAAAAGCATCTGGGAAACACCTTCTAACAGCGTTGTCAATTGAGTTTTCCCTATCGGATATGATTGTCAGATTGCTAATAGGACCTATGCAATCCCTAAGATGCCCCATAAACCATGTCCATGAATCAGAGGTTTCAGATTTGCCAACCCCGTAAGCTATTGGCAATATCCCATTGTTAGCATCCATGGCTACTGCTAATAAGTTTACTCCAAGGTATCGACCTTTCAAATGTGCTCCGTCAACTATAATAACTGGGCGCATGCAAGTAATAAACGAACGAATCTACAAAATAATATACACAAGAAATATAATCATTTAAATGTGAAATGCATGTAACTAACAAAAATGAGTCAACAAAATTATATTGATTTACTAACCGTAGCACCAATGGCGATAAACAGCAACTCAAAGCGTCCATCTCTATCTGTTTTGATATGAGTTACCGACCCAGGATTTTTCAGCTTTAAATTGTGACAATAAGCCGGCAGTTGGGCAAACGATGCTTCTGGCGACCCCCTCAACAATTCCAAGGCATAACATTTGGCTCTCCAAGCTTGAGAATATGATATACTAATCTTGAACCGAGCATTCATGTCAGTCATAATTTCATGTCCCCGATATACCCTGCCATTCAAAAACATTAACTCAGCCAGAAAACCACCCAACACCTTTTTGTTTGCCTGTCTATGGTGAGGAAAACTTGGGTTCTTGAACATGTATGTTTATCAATAAAAGTCCTAACTTGAAACATTTTGCAATCTTTTATTCTCTTTGCAATCATACGCCACGTACAGTTTTTGTCAATCATACACCTTGTTTCGAAACGATCTTTGCTTGATTTGTTAACTTTTAGTTGATAGCCATCTTCCACACATTTCGTATATAAAGCTATCTTCAAGTCTTCCTTTGTATCAAAACAATCATCTTTCTTGATACGAATAACTTTTGTGTAACAATCAACTGCTTTCTTTATCAACTCTTCTTCCGGTATCTGAAGTAATTCTGGCATATTCCAGTTATACGCCCGTGGCATTTCTTTCTTCGGGGACTTTTTCTTCTTCTTTTTCTTCTTCAGGATTATATGAATTACAGAATGGATGTTCAACATGTTCATTCACAGTCGTAACTTCCTCCTCATTATCATCAACATTACATTCTTCGGCAACGGCTGTTTCATCATCAAAATTCGGGTATTGACCAATATCAATATCATTACACGCATGGTCTGTTTCTTCTTCTGAAACATCATCAAAATCCGTGTATTGACCAATATCAAAGTCCGGATATTGACCAAGACCAAATTTCGAATACTGACTAGTACTCACAATTTTTTCTGTTGGCTCATCATCGTCTAACTGGTCAATACGAAAACCGGAATTTGGTGCTGAAAGTTGATTGGGATTTGGATTAGAGAAAGGTTGTGGGTTTTGAGAAAAACTTAGTTGATTACTACCCGCTACTGACCCAACAATACTACTTCTAGGTTCAACAACATACAATGTAACATCATCTTGTGAAACACTAATGTAAGCAATGAATCGTTCAACATCTTCATTGTCGGTTAACAAATAAACTTTACCATTTCTCTGATAAGATAGCCTAAATCCACTTAGGGGCTCTAAATTCAATTTATTTGAAACACGTAGCATTAGAGTTTCATAAGTTAACTTTTGTAAAGACAATTTTAGTTGAAGATTCATGGGTAAAGGCATATATTGTAAAACACCATGAACATTATCCCATGACCCTCCAAAACACAAATCTATCCAAACATGATCAACATTAGATGATTTCATGGTTGTAAATTAATTTACTAAACAGACGAGCTGCGAAACTAAAACCTGTTGCCGGATTGGGAAGGATGTCGTTGGATATAGGAACGGATGTCGCCGAGAGAGTGATAGATGGAGATGGAATGAGTTGCGATTTAGGGATTTAGTTTATGATTTCAGTGTTATATACCCAAAATTTCAGTGTTGTGATTTACAGATTCTCGTTGCGATTTACGGATTATCGTTGCGATTTACAGATTCTCGTTGCGATTTACGGATTATCGTTGCGATTTACGGATACGCGTTGCGATTTACGGATTATCGTTGCGATTTACGGATACGCGTTGCGATTTACGGATACGCATTGCGATTTACGGATACGCGTTGCGATTTACGGATACACGTTGCGGTTTACGGATACGCGTTGCGATTTACGGATACGCGTTGCGATATACGGATACGCATTGCGATTTACCCATACGCGTTGCGATTTACGGATACACGTTGCGATTTACGGATACGCGTTGCGATTTATGTGTTCGCGTTGCGATTTTCATATTCGCGTTGCGATTATGGAAAATCGCAATGCGAATTTGTACTATCGCATCGCGATTTTCAAGAATCGCGTTGCGATTTTGGAAACTGATTTGCGATTCTGGGGATCGCGTTGCGATTTTTATTTCGCGTTGCGAATTTGTTGGTCATTTTGGCAAATCCAAAAAAAGTTGGTTAAAATCGTATATTATAACTTTTTTTTGGTCACTGAGGCGATTTTCTCATAAAAAAATGAAGGGTAAACTACACTGATAGTTTGTTTTGTTCAGGTTTTTTCTGATTTTGGTCGCTTAACTTTTAATTGTTATTTTTTTTATCACTAACGATATTGATTTATCATGATCATATGAACATTAAATAGTGTTATATGATGATGTGACACGTTAGTAAAAAGTTTAATTTCTAATTTGATATCAGAATTTAGATAAAATATCAATTTAATATTTTTTTATAATATTTTAACTATAATCATGTAATAATCCTAATCGTCATTCTTAATTCAATCATCCTAATCTCTCGAGTCAATTCATTTACCAGAACAAACACCAAAATTCAAAGCTTTAAGATATAATCTAAGTCCCCGACTTCAACCTAAGTTATAGATGAGTATCCCTTCCCCGTTTTAGTTTTTCTCTTTTTATGTTCTTTACTATTTGGTTCGGAACTGGTAATTGGAGAGGCAACGATAGTGAAACCAAAGATGATGGATAAGATTCATATAGAACCAATATTGAAACATTATAAAAAGTATCAAACTAATATTTTATCTAAACTTCATAAATCAAAATAGAAATTAATCATTTTTTAACATGCCAGGTCATCAATGCAACGGTAGTTAACATTTGAGTCACTACTCTGTGATAAATCAATTAAGTAAAAGTGATCAAAACATAACAATTGAAAGTCGAGTAACCAAAGTCCGAAGAAAACGAAATAAAAGTGACCACCAATAAAATTTACCAAAATTATAACTAGTTAGAAGCATATGGACCTCAAACATTTGACACTTTCGAGCATATTCTTTTGTTGGCAACAAAAAATTGAGGGATATTCTCATAACCCAATTATGCAATAAGCATATACCTTAGTTTTTACCTGTATTACATCATAATTGTGATTTACTCTTATGGTGTTTTTATAAATTCGGGGTAAATTCAAGATATAGTATCTCTTCAAAAACTCTCAACCGACCGACGCTCATATCTATGTCGGTGCTTATACACGAAATTTCTAAAAAGAATAACAAATCTCTTAACCACTAAAATCGTTTAGTACGCGTTTCGATTTTTATCATATAAGAAAAATGTAGGTTTCTTTAACTTAAAGGTTAATTATTGAACAAATTTTCTTAGGGGGTAAACTTAGTAAAAAAGAAAATTTTGATTTCTCCTACATGCAACTGGATGTTATTACCTGAAGGAAGCTATATAAATTATTGGTCTCTTTTCCATTCTGCAAATTTTCTTACGAAACAAACACAAGATAAGTACAAAGAAATTGTTTTCTTTATATAGTGGGACATGCCAACTCGGTTTCTTGGAGATTTTGTTGGTGTTTGGACAAGGAGTTCCCCATGTCTTCAGATAGACTCATTGCAGATAATGTTATACGGTCCGATGAGCCGAAGTACGGTTCAACGGCGGCCTTGGCATTGTCCGGTTCCTTCACACGATGCGTCGAGAACGATTTGATCTTCCAAGAGCTTCCGAAGGCGACAATTGTATCGGTTTCGAGGCCTGATACGGGAGACATGAGCCCCATGCTTCTATCTTACACCATTGAAGTACGGTACAAACAGTTCATATGGCGATTGTTGAAGAAGGCTTCACAAGTTCTCTATCTTCACTTTGCGTTGAAGAAGCGGGCGATTATCGAGGAGTTTCATGAGAAACAAGAACAGGTTTTCCATTTTTCCCTTGCACTATGCTTGTAGGATTGTTCATAGAACTTACTTTTAGCTTTGCATTGCATTGTTGGTATGTCAAAGGTTAGAGAATGGCTTCAATGCTTAGGGCTAGTGGACCATGTCGCGGTAGTGCAAGACGACGATGAACCGGATGATGGAGCTATCCCGTTACATCATGACGGAAGCTCGAGAAATAGGCTAGTGCATACTGTTTCTCTATGGATTTTGCTCTATACAGAACCCTGCTCTGCCATTGCTAGCTATTGTAGTTCTAAATATTTGATTCCTTGATGCAGAAATGTTCCATCTCGTGCGGTTTTTCCGATTCTTCGCCCCACATTAGGAGGGCTGCAAATCGTTTCCGACAAAGCCAAAGTGGCAATGCAAGGTTACCTGAATCATTTCTTGGGGAATTTGGACATAGTAAATTCCACAGAGGTGAACATAGAATCTTCTTGTTCTTATTACATAGCCCTGCTAGTTGGACAATTCACTTGCCTATATACCCTGCATTATTGAACCAAATTTCAGGTCTGCAAATTTTGGAGGTGTCCAAGCTGTCGTTTTCACGCGAATACGGTCCAAAGTTAAAAGAAGGGTATGTTACAGTGAAGCATCTATCGAACGTTGCTGGTGATGATGATATCGGATGTTTTCCATGCCAGTGGTTTAGTTTCTGCACTAACAATTGGAGAAAGGTAGTTGAATGTCCGATCTACAGAATGAAATATGCCGATTATGTATCGGTTCATGAAATTTATACTAGCTCCCAATACCTATGTACCATCTGCAGTATTTTCATGACTTCTGTTATTTCCTTTTGTTCTGTATGTAGGTGTGGGCAGTCATGAAACCGGGCTTCTTGGCCTTGCTGGAAGACCCTTTCGACACAAAGCTTTTAGACATTATCGTTTTCGATGTACTACCGAACTCGAACGAAGATGTGAAGTCTCGGGTGTGTTTAGCAGAACAGATAAACGAACACAACCCTTTGTACTATGCATTTAGGGTAGGCTATTTGTACTACTTGTGAATAGAATCAAGTTTCCTTTTGTCAGTATTAGCTAAATGAAAGTATCCTTTTGCATTCAAGTCTTAACAATGGGATATGTGGAAAGGTCTCTTGTGGAATTCGGAGCATGGACTTGAGAGTCACGAGTGACGGTAAAGCCAAAGAATGGGTTGCTGTCATTAACGATGCCGGTATAGGGGATCCCGGGGGCTGGTGTTATCCTCACCGCTTCGGTTCATTTGCTCCTCCGAGAGGTTTGAATGAAGATGGAAGTCAAGCTCAATGGTTTATTGACGGTAAAGCTGCATTCGATGCCATTGCAACTTCGATAGAGAAGGCGAAATCAGAGGTTTATAGCTTCCATTTCGTATTTTTCGATCCCTGTTGATTCCTTGAATTCGATGACCGAAATGCCTTTTATGCAGATATTCATAACTGGCTGGTGGCTCTGCCCTGAGCTGTATCTGAGGCGCCCTTTCGAAAGTAATCCTTCTTCTCGGCTCGATGCACTACTTGAAGCAAAGGCTAAGCAAGGAGTTCAGGTGCAAATATGTCGACTTCTGCTCGATATCAAAATAATTTTGATAGTTCTTTAACTAAAATTTATTCTGCAGATTTACATTCTTCTCTATAAGGAGGTTTCCATTGCTTTAAAAATCAATAGTTTGTATAGCAAGAAACTTCTTCATAACATTCATGAGAACGTAAGGGTGCTGCGCTATCCCGACCATTTGTCGACGGGCATATATTTATGGTATGCAACTTAGAGATGAAGTTCAGTCCATATTTCCACACAGACGATCTGCATTTTATTGACATAATGATGAACACGGTATGGCTAAATGCAGGTCCCATCATGAGAAACTTGTTATCGTCGATTACCGGATATGCTTTATCGGAGGTTTAGATTTGTGCTTCGGACGGTATGATACAGTTGAACACAGAGTTGGTGATTGCCCTCCATTTACATGGCCTGGAAAGGACTACTATAATCCCAGGTATTTAACTAAGCATCTTCAGAACCAATGAATTTTAAGGACAATATATGCACTTTAGATTTTTGACATTATTTGTTTTCTTTGGTGTTTCTGTTTAGAGAATCCGAACCGAATTCTTGGGAGGAATCGATTAAAGATGAACTGGAACGAGGGAGATATCCCCGTATGCCATGGCATGATGTCCAATGTGCTCTATGGGGACCGCCTTGTCGAGATGTTGCTAGGCACTTTGTTCAACGTTGGAACCATGCCAAGGTTAATCTTCTCCGCTCGGGCTCTCGAGCACATGATTCTTAATTCGGCCGAAGTTTTTGTTTCTGATACGTATAAGTTGTTTGTGTGCAGAGAAATAAAGCTCTACATGAGCAAACAATTCCATTACTTATGCCTCAACACCACATGGTCCTCCCTCATTATATGGGAAATAGAGAGATCGACATTGAAAGCAAGGGAGATGTCAATCGGAGAGAACTCACCAGACAGGATTCATTTTCCTCACCGTCGCCCTACGACGAAATGCCGTTGCTTTTGCCCCAAGAATCATATGGACTTATTGTTTCTCATGGGGACAGAAAGTTAAATGATCCTGAAAGCGACTCCATAGGCTCAGATACACAAATCAAGGATACTGCAGATGACCATCATTGCATGGATACTCGAAAGGACCTGGAAACAAACGAATCACCACTATCGGACACGTACATTCCTGATGTATGGTGGGAAACAACCGTGACCGATGATAATAAGGCTTACGTAGCTGAATACGGAGAGAACGGTCCTCGTATAGCGTGCCATTGTCAGGTTAGCTTTGCTCTTGAAAGCCAGAACACTTGCCATTCATTTGGATTTTTCATCTTTTTCAAAGTACCCGTGTTCGATATCTTTGTTTATAGATCATCAGAAGTGTTGGCCAGTGGTCCGCAGGAACGAGTCAAACCGAAGAAAGTATTCATAGAGCTTATTGTTCCTTAATTGAGCAAGCAGAGCATTATATCTACATTGAGGTAACATAAATTGCAGTAGCATCTTTCTCCAGGACTTGAAATTGAAGTCTATGGTTCACTGAGTAGTCAGTTTCTGCACTAACTATTTTCTGTTTCTACCGGTTGATTGTTCGTAGAATCAATTTTTCATATCAGGTCTTGCAGAAGACGAAATCATACAGAACCGGGTTTCAGAAGCATTGTACAACCGGATTCTGAAAGCGAACAAAGAGCAAAAATGTTTTCGAGTTATCATAGTCATACCACTCTTACCAGGCTTCCAGGTACAATTCTTTATATCATATCAAAACTTCTAGTTCCGAACATAAAAATGCTTAGCCATTTATTTCTCGGTGACCTTTTATCGATAGGGAGGTCTCGATGATTTCGGTGCCGCAACTGTTAGAGCCTTAGTTGACTGGCAGTATCGAACGATTTCCAGAGAGAAAACTTCAATATTGCATCATCTGAATATGAAACTTGGCCCTAAAACATGGGATTACATTTCCTTTTATGGTCTGCGCTCGTACGGTAGACTTTCCGATGGCGGTCCTATAGCTACGAGTCAGGTATTCTTCTTGTATTACATGTTTCACTTCATATGCCTTTTTGACATTGATTTGTAATGAAAGAGCTCCTATTAATTGAACATATCCTCATCTTTGATGCAGGTTTACGTGCATAGCAAGTTGATGATTATAGACGATCGCCTTGCAGTTATCGGTTCGTCAAATATTAACGATAGGAGTCTGCTCGGATCAAGGGACTCCGAGGTACTTTCTGCATTACATAAGATGTTCAAAATCGAAAACAAAAGTTCAGTTAGCACATCCTAAATGCTGTTCTGTAAATTGATTGTTGTTGCAGATCGGGGTAGTCATCGAAGATAAGGAGTTCATCGAATCATCTATGAACGGCGAGCTGTGGAAGGCTGGAAAGTTATCTCATAGCCTGCGGTGCTCACTATGGTCTGAGCACCTTGGCCTTCATCCAGGAGAGGTTAGTATATCTGCTTCTAATGGCTCGTATTTTTACTGAACTCATTCGAGACATGAATGAGCAATCAGAATTATTGTTCGAATACAATATAGCTAATCCGTTAAAGGCTTTTACTTCTATCAGATCAGTAAGATCAATGATCCTGTGTCGGAACAAACTTACCGAAAACTCTGGCTAGCGACCGCAGAGGTAAGATACCGGTGCCATGGCATGCATGCTTAGTCCATTCCATTTGCAGTTAACTAATGTTAACATTAAAATCTGACAGAGTAACAGCAAGGTCTTCCAAGATGTCTTTGCTTGCATCCCGAATGATCTTATACACTCGAGGTACATTCCGATAGAGATACCGTCTCGTTTTTGTTTATATTTTCGATATTTTTCTCTCGTATGATCGGATTCAATTTTAAACACAGAGCTGCTCTGAGACAAGACATGACCTATTGGAAAGACAAACTCGGGCACACCACCATCGATTTAGGCGTTGCACCAGAGAAACTAGAAACTACAGAGAACGGAGAGATTAAAACCGAAGATCCGGTTGACCGATTGAAATCGGTTAAGGGACATCTTGTTTCATTTCCTTTGAAGTTCATGTCTCAAGAAGATCTAAGACCGGTATTTAACGAGCGCGAGTTTTATGCATCTCCTCAAGTGTTTCATTGACCATATATATATCTGCATACATAATCTCTACATAATTAGGTGAAAAAGTTGTAAATTTTCGTCATTCATTCAGCCGATCGATTCTCTTCTTAGATTTTGTGTTTCTGGTTTCGACTTCGAGATCTTCTATGGTGCATGATATTGTTGTTTAAGATCCGTAGTGTATCTTATGATTATGGAACTGCACTTTGAACAAAGAAAATTAACGCAAAATATGTGGCCATAAACAGCAATTAGCTTGTTCACTTACATAAGCTTCATGCTAAGATAATGGAGTTGAATGGAAGAAGAGGCAGATGGCCGAAATATCATCCATTGCGATGCCCTTTCTCTTCTTTTTCCAAGCACGGGCCGCGCTCTCAACCAGATGCTTCGCCGCCTTTGCCTTGTCCAGTGTTGAAGATACTATCTGAACCGCTTCTTGATTGGAAATAACATCCCATACCTGCAGGAACGATTCGTCTAAAACCATGAGCATATTTTGAGCACTTCATTTGTCTTCCCTTTCAAATTCGAGTAGCAAGATTAGATCGTATTTTTTTTATCGCTTACACCATCGGTTGCAAGTACAACAAACTGGTCTCTGCTGGTTATATGTCTTTGCGTGACTTCGGGAACGGAGATAAGTCCGTAATCCTTAACGCAGTAGTCTCCGAAAGCTCGAGACATAGCCAGTCCTGGTGACTCATCATGAGGCAGCCAAACCCTGTGTACCCCTGGCTCATCATGCAAGCAAAACACCCGCCCGTTGCATTGAATTATCCGCTCCGCCTCCTCTGCAAGCAAGATCAAACCAAAAGACATAAGAAAATCGTAATGGCTTCGGTCTCGTTTACGATTTACACGAGTATGGTCGAGCCTCACGAGGTAAACTTGGCTTGAAGTCGACAGTGAGCTGAACGGGAACCAAGGTTCCATCGTCTGAAGTTGTAGCTAAAACAGCCCGAGAATCACCAACGTTGGCAACAAATATAAGATCACCCTGGCCAATATAAATGTCAAATTCATATGAGTATGCCATGGCCGTTATAAGAAATAAAAGCTTCAGTTACCTGTCTGACAATCGTCAAGGCAGTTGTTCCGCTATGGAAGGAATCGATCTTCCTATGGTGCTCGAGCTCTCGATCGACTAAAGCGCAAGTATTCAGATAAGAATGCTTCCATATATGAAATCTCTGATCCTTTTTATCGGATTCCAAATCGATATCCTCATCGAGCGATGCTCGAGCTAGAGCCTCTTGCCAATTGCAGAGCAAGGACGACGGCATCGACTCTCGGACCCTTTTCGCAACAAAATGACCCCATGGACCGTGACCATCAAATATTCCACAAAACAGCATGTCTGCTTGACATCCAAATTCCTATTCCAAGTAAACAAATCCCAGATTTATCAATCATAAACATAAACAAAACATTTGCAGTCATGCTAATGGCTTACCTCCCATACAATAGCACAATCCTGGTTCACTCCTTTTTGGCCTCTCCTGGAGAAAACCGACGCGAAATTGTCGGAACCATCGGTATTTACAACGCCGGAAGACCTCAAAATCAGGTCATTCTTCTTTGCATCCTTTGCCATCGCCTCAGCAGCTTCTCTTCCATCGCCATTCCCCGGATTCTTTGCTCGCTTTATCGAAAACGACCTCGCTAAACCGTTGAACATGGAGGAAAAATGACTCATTGCCTCTAGAATTTCAATTCCCACTACCATAAAAGAGTTACCGTCTTCCTTTATGTAGGTCCAAAGATCGCCTATTGCAAACAAATAAATATATACACATAAATGACAATGGAACTGTACAAAAGAAGACCTTTGAATCGTAAAAGACATTACATAAAATACTCATTATGACATGGAATTCCAATAATCCCTCAGGGTCTGTTTGGTTGCTGGGAAAATGATATTGGGAAAGTTGAAATTGAAAATTTTATAGTATGTTGAAGGACTACCAAGTGGGGAACCTGAAAAAGTAAAACATGAAATCTAGAATTGACTAGAGAGCTTCAAGTTAGTTAAAAATTTCCCTTTATAGTACAGGCAAAAAGAAAACTAAAAGAAAATAAGTGCTGGATTTTCCTTAGCTAAGTAATCTTTTTCTTCTGCTCACTAGGGAACCCTGTTGTTTGCTCTCTTTTTTTCCAGAAAAATACCAGAAAACGCCAGATTTTCTATTGCTCTTGAATCAAAATTTGATCTTCAAGGGAAAAAATCCAAAATTTTTAACAAAAGCTAGAATTTTTCTCTTTCCTTCTAAGAAAAATCCAAAACAAAAGCTTTAAACGAACACAAAAACCAATCTTTCTAGTCATCCAATTTCTCAGAAATATAAACCAGGCCACCCCAAACCAGAAAGACATAAAGAGATTATTAAAAAAAAACCTCTAAGAGAAAATGGTTTGCCGGGAAGCTGATGCAAGCAGCCGGAAAGTGCTGACGTGATCCTTAGAAGAAAAGCTGAGAAACCGAGGAGAAGAAGATGGAGTATAATAAGAACAACGCATGGTATTGTTATTCCTTGTTTGGCTATGGTTTTTTCAAGGCTCTTTTTTTAATGAACGGAGAACAAAACAAAGAAGAAAAAAAGAAAGAAGCAATGTATTGTGCATGTACTACCATGCAAATAACTACAAAACAAACCTAATTCAAAGGGATCCTAATATCGCAGTGATCGATCTATAAATATTTTTTACAGTGATTAATTATTAAAAAAATTTATATTGATAATCACAAATAAAATTTTAGGTCTATAAATATTTTTTACAGTGATTAATTATTAAAAAAATTTATATTGATAATCACAAATAAAATTTTAGGGTAGACAGCTATAGTAAAATAAAAAACTAATACAAAAAATTTGAATTTCAAAGTGGGCACGTATTCACTCTCTTAAGCCTAAGCCTTGTTCAATTAATTAGACTTAATTTTAATTAATAGCTATAACGTGGCCTTAACTAATTAGAATAGGGTGTTTTATATATTATAATTTTAACTACTTATATAAAATTATTAAAATAAATCAATATATAGTTTTTATTTGTATAATTGTAAGAGAGAATTATCTTTTTTATTTCCGAACTAATAAAAAATCAATAAAATAAACGTCATAATTATTTTTTGAAACATGCCCAATATTACGATTAAAATACCTTCTTTTGTATTAAAAATTAAAACAATGCTCAAATGCTACACATTCTTATATTTTATTTTTAATTCATAAATAATGTATATTGTCAAATCCAAATGATTGGCAACATATATATAAATATTATGTATAATTGACATAAAATAATAAAATTTTTATTGTTCAGCAGTTGACATTTGATTTTATATTATATGAATTGGGATTAATTCTTATATTATGTACCTAAAATATTATTTTTTATCGAAAATATTAATTTCATTAACTAATTTCTGGTAGAATCCAATATTAACATTTTAAAAAATAATATTTTATGTAGCACTTTAACGGAAATGATAAATATTTTAGGTAGGTCCAATATTAACATTTTCGATAGAAAAATAATGTTTTAAGTAACGTTTTATCGAAAATATTAAAAAATATTAATATTTCCGATAACTTCTTTTATTAATCATATATTAAAATTGTTACACCTAAGACATCCGATTATCTTATTATAGAAATTGCATATATAGTTTAACAAAGAATGATAAGGCTGGAATATATATTTTAATATTGGTGCACCTTTTTAACGGTAAATAAAAATATAGCTGGTCTAAAATTCTACACGTGGCGAATTATTAATCACTAACTACCTTCAAAGAATTCTACACGTGGAAAATCAAATTCTTGTGAAATATTATTTAATTAATCACCTAAGCGAAAATCAAAATTCTTGTAAAATATATATTTAATTTAAAATATATTAAAATATCATTATAAAAAGTTTACCCAATTTTTTAAAATATCAATTTTAAAAAATAGGGTAAACTATGCATTTAGTACCTAAAGTTTCATTTTTAGCATGTTTTATTACTTGAACTTTCAATTTTTATAAAATCATACTTAAAGTTTACATTTTAGTACCCGTTGTTAACTTTTTGATTCATTTTAGTACATAAATTTTTAATGGCAAGGTACTAAAATGAAATAAAAAAAAAGTAAACTTTGGGTATGATTTTGAAAAAGTTGAAAGTTTAGGTACTAAAATGAAATAAAAGTGATAGTTTAGGTACTAAATGTATAGTTTACCCTAAAAATAATCTGAAATTGATATTAATTTATAAATTAATTTACGATAAACTATCTATTTGGTAACTCACCTAGTATGTAGTTTTTATTTTGGTCACACAAATATTATTTTTTCAAAATCATACATGATGTTATTTTTTAGTTCTATTTTAGTCACCAATCATTAAAAATCAATGATGGTGCTAATGTGACATCTTTTTTTTTAATTATTTTTTATTTTTTATGTTAGATTACTTTATGATGGCATGCACAGTGGCAGATGTATATGGAGTCCAAGGTGGACACGTGCCCACTTTGGAATCCGAATTTTATTATGTTAGTTATTCATTTTACTAAATGTGTTCACCCTGTACGAACTTTTTTATTAGTATTACATATGTGCCCACCCTAAAAATGTTTTTGAATCCGCCACTGGGTATGCAGGGATAGGCCGCATATGGGGGCAGTCGCCTCCTGAAATTTTAAAATTAAAAATTAGTTGACCATATTCTCATATGTAATTGGGTAAGGGAGAGGTAGGATAGTAGGTTGCCCCCAACGTTAGGTTGAGAGCAGCTTCCGTGGGAGACCTCCGACAGTAAGAATTATGAATTTCCCACCGTGGGACTCGATCCCACGACCACAAGATTAAGAACCTTGCGCTCTTACCAATTGAGCTGGACGGACAATTCTGAAATTTTAAAATTACTATATATTTTATATTTTTTATGTATTTTATATTGGAAAAATGTTTTCGGCCCCTAGAATTTATAAGTTCAAGCTCGCCCCTAACATAAAATCATGTGTCCGTCCCTAATGGCATGTTAATGTCACTGTTAATTTATAAAGACGGGTAATCAAAATAGAACAAAAACATAATTCAA